GCACATGCCTGGGTAAATGGTCCGTGGCGGGATGTACCTTGTATGTACACCTTATCACAGGGATATTAAAAAAAAATGAAGACTGCTGATTAGAAACAGCTCCACTATAATTTTTTCAAACGTACGTCATTACAGTGTATTACATCAAGTTCTTTGCCATTTCTCTTCTTTCAGAAATACAAATCCTCGCAATCCATAAAGAGGATAAAGAACAGCATGTTAGAGTGATATTTCTAACAAGACTTGCACAAGCAAAATCAATAAACAAATCATAGCTTGGTTTCCTATGCACAACCTTGTAGCTTTTATACAGTAGCAATCTTGCTTAGCTACTTTGACAGCACAATGGTTAACAGATTTCAAAATGTTACATCATTCCTCTCAAAACTGCACTGTGAAAATGCACCATGGACACTGTTGCTATGCTGCAATAACACAAGTAGATTTCCACGGGGTCTCAGTTTTATCAATCAACTCTCTCTTAAATTGTGCACAATCTACGGGTGAAATGCTGCAAGGCAAATACTGACTACTTTCATGTATGATATAGTATTTTGAACCTTCCTCAGCGATCCCGGAAGCTCTAACAATGGATCACCGACGTACATGCTTCACTTTGCGCATGTTTACCTTGAATACCAAACTGGCTCAGACAATCAACCAATTTTGTCTAGAGACAGCTAACTTAAAAAAAAAAAATTGACGGTGTTGAAGAGACATACCGGCAAAGTACCTAAAGATGTCATTCTTAGTCGCCTCCAGCTTAGACATGACGTTGGCTACCTCGGTGGTCACAAGATTCTTGTTGGTTTCAATCAGCATTCGATGCTCATTGGCCTTAAATCAGATTGAAGAGTCAGTGAAGTATATCAACTTGTCAGCACATCTCATGTTAGTCAAGATCTCAACAGTTATTGTACAGAATCATGCAGGCCCTGCCAGTGGCACCATGGTACTGTATTTGTCATGGGCATGACATCTTATTTCTGATTGCTTCCTGATTCCAAAAAGGTACACAAATATCTGAGATGCAGGATTTGGCAGCAGAGGTGAGTGCGTGAGTTATTTAATGAATACTCAATCTACAGCTGAACAAGTAATTTCATTCCCCTTTTGGTAAGACATATGTACTTCTTTTTGGATTTCTGGTGAATTGAATTGGAGGGGGGTTCTGTACATTTAAGACTCGCATTTATCTAAGTTTAATAGGGGAAAAATCACCCAAACTGTAGTTAAGCTAACTGCCTTACAATCATTAATGTAGGGATTTGGGGGATAGTAAGGATAAATATAAATGGAATAATGGTGTGTATTGCTTATTTGAATAAACTGGTTTCAGGCACCTGTTCTTTCACCCGGCTTTTCTCCATGTTGATGTCCAAGAGCACCTTGTTACTCAGATTGGAGATGTCATCCTATGCAATAAACATCCCAAATGAAGGAATTTCACATAAGCCATTTTCTGTAAACTGTTTGGGCTGTTTTTGGTACAATATTGATGGCTGTTGCACGTCTACTTCTGCAGTAATTCTGGATAAATGAACAGACTACTGGAAGGAATCTGACATTTGAAATCATAGAGGGGTTACAAAACATGCAGAGAGTTCCATTCTACAATGACTGTGACAAAAGGAACAATATGTTTTTAACCACTGCACGTCGGGGGACCAGGTATCGGGTACATTATGTTTGAACGCATAGCCGGGGAGCCCGAAATCGAACAAAACGGAAAATCGTGAAAAATGCCCATATTTGTGAACGGCCATTTTAATTGAATCCCGGAAGCAAGTGGTTAATCCCAAAGCAACATTTTCAACAAAGTTACTTCCTTTATATCAAAGGGCCCAAATCCACCAATCCTACCATTATGTCATAAAATCTATTCCAAAGTGAAAAATATCAGACAGTGTTTCAGCGGTTGCCTTTAATAAAAGATTCTGACAAGCATTTTCAAATACATAAATACTTTTCTCACACACAAAGTGTGGGCACTGCTTTGTTTTCTGTGGTCAAGAAAACTTGAGGGAAAATGCTCCTTTTTCTCTCACTAGAACTCCTTCAAGCTGGATTTTTTATGCTGGTTTCCCGAACTGTTCCTCCTTATTTTGCCACTGATAACCCTGACCCTAACATGCCTCTGTAGCCTTTTTTCCAGAGAGGGTAAATGCTGTGTGGACATGAGCAGGTCCACACAAAATCTTCTTATCCTACACTATGTGGACTGCTTTTGTACAGAGGTCTACACTCTGTATGCTATGTGCAAGTTGTTCAGATGGGGCAAAGGGTTAAAATGAAAAAAAAAAAAATAAAAAATTCAGCTGGATGTTTAACCTTTAATCCACTGAATAACTACATGATTGGTAGCTGTAAGGTAACAAACCGAGACTTATCAGTTATCTAATAGGCAGTAATCTGAAGCCTGCTTACTGCAAAAGAATATAACAGAGCTGAAATGACGCACATGGTTTGAGTAAGCAGTGAGCACGTATGTGGCAGAAAACACTGTACCTTCATACTACCAAGGAATGGCATTTATCCAGTGCACTACACAGTGCCAGAAAACCCTCTGCTGCATTTTGTTGCATTCTGTAGGGTTCTCGCTTCAGCTGTGTTGGATTCTGTTGTGTTTAGCAGGGTGCCCCCTCGTGCCCAGCAACAGCAAAATCGAAAGCAGCTCAATGGTGGTTAAAGTATGATCGCATTGGCCTGTCAACCGTATGCCTACCTTAAGTTGTTTGTTCAACTGTGTCACTTGATTTGCCAATCTCTACATAAACAGAAAGAAAAAAAGATAAAAAACATGATAAAAAACACAAAACAGTACAACAGTTATTACTTCCAGCTCCTCAGCTCATTTCTGTAAGTTGTAAGTCTAACCCAACAAAAGCCAACAGTGGCCTCAGTATAGTAATTACTCGCCTTCACAATGAGCCACACAGACTTTGCTGATTGTCAAGATAAAATGTTCTGTGCAATTGAAAACCAGTTTTCTTCTTGGAATAACACTTTCTTTATTAAACTTTCTTTCTTAATCTTGGAAATTTGATGGTGCTGAAGAGTTTTAGAAGACATTTTAAAAACATGTTTCCTACGTGTCTATTCACCTGTTTTCCTTCAGTGCACTTCAATAACGCCCAATATATACTTTACTTTTGCTCAAAACTGTCGGCAATCGGACTGGCATACAAATATGCAAGCCATTAAGTACCTTTATGCCGTGTTTGAACACAGGGCTTTTATCAATCAGTGAGCAAACAGGAATAGCGTTTTACAAACCTCATTTTCAGTGCGGAGTGTTGAGAATTCACTCTTCTCTAAGATGACCATGTCCTTCTTGACAGCTGAGATGTGTGACATGATCATCTGAACACTGATTTCCTGAGGAAACAAAATTTACACAAAACAAAGCATTTGAAATACAGGCCATTTTTAGTTCAAATTTAACTAACTTTATTAACCCCTTCGTGCCGGGACGCGGTTAGAGTCGCCGTAAAAATTGGGATCCTCAGCCCACTTTTCAGCTACTACTGTCAGCCCATGCTCGAGTGAACACGGTGAAAGAAGGCATATCCTGGCTCTTGTATATATGGTGATTGGCCATTGCGTGTTGCCAAGAAATAAAAAAGCCCAATTTGCATCATGATCACCAGCTTCACCATAGTCCCCACTTTGAAAAGAGGCAACAGGAATGTGGAAGCTTGAGTAGAGCCACACGCCACTGAACAATCAGCCTTTTCACTGTGTAATTCAAAGCGTGCAGAGCACGCAGGGCCACAAACCGAGAATTTGCAGTTTGGCAGGTGGCCTTTGTGGCCAAGCGAGGCTGGAATTCTTGGAGTCGGCTTTCGGGAAGAAATTCTCGTCGTCAAGGGGTTAAAGGGTTCAGGCAAGGTAACGTTTGTAATACACGTAGATGCATATTAATAAGCAAGTGTGACATCATCCAAGGCAGAAACTAAAATTTGCCTACATTTTGGATATGTTGTTGTCGCAAATTTGGTCTATTTCAGTGGCTCACTGTTTCAGTTCGAGACAGTAAGCCAGTGAGCAAATTTTTTTCACAAACATTTAGAATGAGCAAATTTTGGATTCACAATTTGAACAGAAAACCTTTGAAATGAACACTGGTTTCCTTTCCTGTCGACATGTCACAGCAATAACAGTGAGCACCCTTATTTTTTATTTCAATGAAAGTATGGTGCCCTTTCACAGAGAGTGGCCAAAAAGAGATGGCAGATAGTCTTCGACACTTTTCTTACATTTTTAGGAGTAGAATGTTCTACAAAGCATACTAGTAAAATTCACATCAAAGTCTCTACAATTATAGTACAAAAACTTACTAACTGTTCTTTTGAAATTGTCTCCTTTGACACAACTTCTGCATTCTTGCTGAAAACACTAACCAAAACAGTCGTGAGACACTCTGCCTGTTGCCTTGAAAACCCTGCAACAGCACAGAGAACAATCCTTCATGAAATCCACATTAAACAGAATTAATCCATTTGCTAAATTCTCCCATACTGAATTGAAAATTGCAATCTGACACCTTCTTTTTTGTGAAATGCAAAGGTCAACTATTGTGATCCTTAACACCATAATAAACGTGCAGCTTTTCTTTTTGTTTGTGTTTTTAGTTAGTTGTTTGGGTTATTAGAAACACACAAATAAACAGCGTATTCAGTTTCAAAAAATTGCGATCAATGTTCTGGGAAATACATACTAATATAACAGAACCACATCATACCATTTTCTTCGAGCGAGTTGACCAGACCATTGGTGTCAATGAAGACTTTGTCTTTAGTGACAATGTCAACAGGTCTGCTGGCACTGCTTGCGGAGGCACAGAAAAACCTGCAATTTGATTTGGCTGAAAGAAAAATAAAATGAGATGTAGTTTCCCTTGTAAGTAGTGCAACACAACAGCGAAGCCCTCCCCTAACTATACTGCAATTTCCATATTGTGAATTCAACAGTTTGAGGTAAGATTTCTGCTGGCAAAAATGCCAACATCAGCAAACTGTACACAATAGGATTCTGTGAACAATTAAATGAAATTTGCCATGTACTCTTAATCACTGAACCAATCTGCAAGCAATGGGTTTTTGAGTCACCCAAAATTAATCAATGGCTAGTGTTACCAATTATCAATTGATCAATAAGCTCAAACAACACTGGTCGTTACAGACTACTCCAAGAAGACACCATTACCGTCTTTCATAATTCTACCTTAAAAGTGTTTTCTAAGTATCGGCTTTAACATTTTCCCTGCTAATGTGTCTTTTTAGGATGTTATTAGTTTCTAATGGCTGATAGGCCCAACGTCACTGCAGGAAATAAGTGAAATCCATGTCTCTGGTTTTTCAGGATTCTTCAGGAAATCTCCCACTGTACTGCCATATTTTTAAACACTCTCCCACACCACAAATTAGAATAAATAGGTGATTGGCTGAGGGCACAATAAACCTTTTAGACTTTCTCACTGAATCACGGAATCAGATGAAAATCAAACAATTCATTTTATGCATGAATCAATGGGAGAAGTAAACCAGTCAAACCTCAAATATCATCTTCCTCCAAAATTTCTCTTTAAGTACTTCTTCATCAAGTCTCTGATGCATGCATAATATACAAGAAAGATTTCTTAAGGAATTAAGATGTACAATTTTAATAATAAATCCAAAACACTTTTGAGTAAAAATAATTACCCTAGATTTATGTGTTTTTAGAAGGGCACTAGTTACTATAAAATGAACATGACTGGTCAGTGCAGGAAGAATAAGCTTGGAATCCTTATCTACTTGGCAAAGACTATCTGACTCACAATCATGGTGCAAGACAGAATCTGACGTTCGGGGAAGCAATTCTCCAAATTTTCTTTTTCGTCCAAGTCTTAAACTTCAATATTTTGTGAACATCCAAACTCTACAACGTAATATTATGTGAAAGAGGAATTGGAGTCTGTACATGTAAATTATACCAAAGTGCAAATGAAATTGTTTTGCGGCTTTTTCCACAATAATGAGTGTTTAAGTGTTTAAGCTGCAATTCCACGACTGATCGTTGCGTTTTACTGAAGATAATGCAAAGGCAACACAAAATTTTACATGAAGAAAGTTCAGGTCGGTAAACCAAACAAAACAGAGGTCGACCAAACAAGTGTGTTTTGATCAGCCACTTGGGAAAGAGTTCCATATTGGATACAGACATCACTTATTTTTCCCTACAGAGGTTTATATAATGGCTTGTTATTGACAAATGTACCAATACGTGCAACTGTTTGCTTGCTCCATGGTGCAATCATGGAGGTAGGAAGAGATGCAAATGAGAGGACTGAAAGATTGTACAACCATTGACTGATTGCACTCAACATTAAAAGCACTAGTAGGCCTATACTCAGTTGAGTTAGCCCTGTTGCTCATGACTTCTGAAAATTCGCAAATTGATGTTATCAATAATCATAATAATAAACAGGAATGTCACAGGAATTTTTACTACCTAAGGCTTGGGTTACTGTAAATCTCTGGTACGTGATAGTTCAATGGTAGGCCTACTTCGAGAACTCACTACTCCATCATACACGAAGTAGGGCCTTTGAGTTCTAACCAGCTAACTTAGTTCAGTGGTTATTGGTTAGGCCCTTCCATCATAGTACATCAGCTAGCATGGTGGTGAGCATGATGACGACCTCACCTGGCTCAGGCATGTCATGGTCAGGCTCGACTACTGCTGCTCTGATATGTTTAGCTTAAGCCCGTTAGCCTGAGATTGCGACCCCCAGTGTGCGCTGGGCCGGGCGGACGTCGGACCCCCACAGTTAAGTTGTGGCATGTCTGGGGCCGGGGGTACGAATGGCTTTGCCATATCACACATATTGAGTCAAAACAGTGAAACTCACCTCTTGTTTTACAAGTTCGAAAACCATAAGGGAATAGTAAGCCATTTCGAAAACTACACACTCCAATATCAGGAAAAAATGTTAAATGTCTAAACCTGAACTTGTTCGTTATCAACGCCATGATTTCATCAGACGCATGTGTGCATATATATACGTACGTGTACCAGCAATAGATGGTACATACTGTATGCTGTGCATCGCGCTGATGCCATCATTTGCCATTACACAGTACTAGCAGGCCAGCCAGCAGGCAGGGCACGTGTGTCCGCCGAGCCAACCTCGTTCCCAGTGTGTGTGCGTGGTTTAAACAGAAACCTCGGTCGGACTGGCAGACTGGAATGACCATCCTTTGAAGCTCCTGCCTAGCATTAGATCTACAGATAACTTCGCCCAAAGTGCGCCAAATTAAAAGAAGTACCTGATCCGTATTATTCTTGCGATCGGACATCCGGGAACTTCCGTACGCACGAGGGGTAAATTTGCCCCTTTGCCGTGAGTCAAAAATTGATCCATAAAGACGTTACGTCGACCGCGAGAATGATTTTCAGCGCTTAATCGATAATCAAAGATCGTATAGCGCCGAAGGCGCAAGATGGATAACTCTGCCTAAAAAGGTGGAATTGCCTCAGCAAGCAATACGCCTGCGCGGTTACAGTAATGACAGGGGCAGGCGCACCAGGTGTGCCCATGTACGTGCCTGCCGCAACGCCTGCGCGCGCCTGTGCATTAATAGTGCGCTCGATTAGCTTACACGTGTAAGTCAAACTTACACAAGAGCGTTCGTTTAGCCATCACGTGATCTTTGTGACTGCCCTGGTGTCAGCCACCGCTACCCCAGCTGGCGGGCGGGTCTCTAGAGGCTGCCCAGGTGTAATGACGTCACGCATGGACCGTTCGAGCATGGACATCAAAGAATGAACGTGGCGGGGACTTGACCGTTTTCCCAGCATGCCTTGGAGAATACGCTGCAGCGTTCGATTAGCCTCATTTCGAGGCTTCCCTTGTGTAACACTGGTGTATTCAGGGAAGCTAATCGAACACACCCAATATAATGTGCACTGCGCAGACGTACGTATCGCTTGCTCAAATGGCGCCCACGTAATTACAACGTGAAGTTCTCCATCCTGCGCCGGCGTAGTCTTGCCCATGACGTCAGTGATCAATAGTTGTTTTAGGGTGCACCACTAAAAGTAAATTCCCATAGACAGCAGTGATAAATCCCCATACTTCACAAATATTTCAAAAATACTCACAACTCTCACAGGTGTTCAGGTTGCACAGAAAAATGATGTT